ATTCAACAATTAACAACATCAACAAGTCAATCAATTATTTCAATGATTTATAAAAATAATCTTGTATATTTAGAAAAATAAAATAAATCGAAATTTCTTATCTCGTTGTTTTTCTTTTCAAAGGTTTATTGTGGAATGGAAAGTGGAACAATTGAAATTTTACAATGTGACATTAATCAAGTATATAGATGTGAAGTAAATTTCAAATGATTTTATTTTTTTGAATAGAAAAGAAAAATCTTTATATATCTTATTCTAGTATGCATCATGTCGACAACCATTTTCTCGTCGTGAAGATGTTTTTATTCATGCACGACTTTTTCATGTACAACATTCTTCAACAGTAAATTTCTTTTGTTTTTGAATTTATGTATATGCTTTCTTTTTCTTTTTCTCGAAAAGATTCAACGATGTCTATGGAAACATTGTATGAAATGGGTACCATTGAAAAAATTTGGTGATCATTTACGAGTTCATACAGAAAATCTTGTACTAGAAACAAAACAAGAAGTAACAACATCACCAATACCAAATACATATGGATTTTCATCGGATTCATCTATAACAACTTATAGTACAAAAACACTTCTTATATAATTCTTGATTAAATGTGTAATGTATATATATATTTGTGTGTATTGTTTTTATATTTGAAAAGAAAAACAAACAAACGATTAACCGAAAGTACTTTTTACAAAAGTTTATATTAAATATAAAACATTGTTATGATTTTCATATATATTCTGAACCGGATACAAATAGAAACTGTATTGAAAAGGTTTCTATTTTACTAAAAATATCTAATCAATATTGTGATAAAAATCATTTGTTCTTAAAAGTAATGAAGTATTAATCCAAAAGAAAAATATTTTTATTCTTTTAAAACTAATCATCTTTAACAAGCATACAAAAATTAGGTATAGGCAAGAAGAGAAAAACGAGTCTTCGGGAATGTGTATTTCATTCATACTTTACCTGTACTTCACACATACTTTCAGTACATCGAGTGCAAGTGAACTTTGACGAAGCCTCGATTTTCTTTCCTCTTGATTATAGGCCTAAAATCTTGTTATTTAAATCAATAATTAAAAGTAAGATGCCAATGGTTTTTTTTCTCGAAGAACTATAGTTTTATTAAGTAAAAAAAACACCGTATTTAAAATATTTCTATTTATTCATTTAATGGAAGTAAATTATCGAGTACACGAATTACAAATGCTTTTTCTTCATCTGATGGATTTTCACTAACATCTCGTATCGATGGTATTTCAAGTATTTCAAGATAAGTTTTTGGTCGTTCTTCAACAGTTCTTTTAAGTCTAATGATAAAAAGAAAATAAATAGTTGAAGAAAAAAGAAGATAAAATTAACATACAAATATGTTAGAAGTTGTTTCA